CTTCATTTTCCAAATTATAAAATCAATAATCGGTCCTTTTCAGGACCACAAATAGCTAACAAAGAGATTAACTATTGCTTGGTATACAGCATTTTTCGTTTTATATTATGATTATTTACATTTATTCCATTATTTACACAAATGCCTGGCATTTCACATAACAATGCAAATATATAAATATGAAGTCATATACTTGTATATGTATTTTTCATTCATCAAGTAAATTAAATCATGCTATTGCGATTATCATTTTCTCAATTAAAAGAAATATACATTGAGAAAATCGATTGTTTTTTCTGAATGCGAAACACACGTTATATAGTATAAGATTTAATGGTTATTACTGGTATTCAAACAAATAAATAAAATATGATTTTCCCAAAAAAATGTCAAATTTGTTATTTATTTAATAAATTTTTTACTTAAATAAATACTTGTATATTGTTATATTTTTCAAAATACAAAATAAAGCACTTGAATTAAATAGAGCAATGGATTTTCCTGCTATTTAGACAAACATGCGAAACTACTTATAACATAACAAAACACGTTTTAAAACTCGGAATTTATTATTTATTTAATAACTAACTCTTTCTAGTTTTGTTAATACATTTGTTAGTACTTGTAAGTTATCAAACTCCATTTTTTTATGACTCCTTGGAAATTCGTTAACAACTTATAATGGGTCCAGAAATGATAATATAAAATCTTAAATACTTAACAAATTATTAAAGCAAGTTTAACTTCTTTTGAATGAATGCTAAAATAAATTGGACTTTTAAAACTATATTCTTAAACTATATTTGGTAATTTGTTTGAATGCTATATGCTACTCCGATGGTCGTTTTATGCAAGGTAGGGCTACTTTGAAAGCATTCAATAAATATATTTTTTTGCATTTTAATAAATCATTCGTTTAGATTTGTATACAAAATTGTTTAAATTTTGTTTAAAACCCGTTACAAATGATTTTATAGCATAATTTCTTATAATAAATTCATTTTGTAAGCAAAATTATTGACCATTAAAGAATAATGTTTCACTTTGAGTGCCATTTAAAAATGAACTCACAAAAGTATCTACACAAACTTAAGTTTATTAAACTCTGTCAAGCTTATAGATATTATTAAATTGCATTTCAAATGATTTTTTTTACATCTAATCATTTTTCGAAGCAAATTACCTTTTAGATTGCCATAAACTTAGCTGTCGAGAACGACCAATGCCACATTCATTTGTATACCGCCCTCCTCCACGATTCTCATAAAAATGGGTGACTAAAAATTCGTAAAATTTCTGAAAGCAAACCGTTTTATAATTTTACAAGTGTGAAAGTGAAGTTAAAAGAAATGTCTGATTCTATCGTAGCTGTTACATCGGCCGCCTCTCCGATTGCCATTGCACAAGCGGAGAAAAAGGTCAATGTCAAGAAGGCAACTGCCGCCAAATCGAAAAAAGCTACAGCTCCACCATCACATCCGCCAACCCAGCAAATGGTCGACGCGTCAATCAAGAATTTGAAGGAGCGCTGTGGGTCATCACTTTTGGCAATTAAAAAGTACATTAGTGCCACATATAAATGCGATGCCCAGAAATTGGCACCGTTCATTAAGAAATATTTGAAGTCAGCTGTTGCAAATGGAAAACTCATCCAAACAAAAGGCAAAGGCGCATCTGGTTCGTTTAAATTATCTGCGGCCGCTAAAAAAGAGCCAAAGCCAAAAGTCAGTTCCGTCGAGAAAAATAAGAAAAAAGTTGCACCATCTGGAGCAGCTAAAAAGAAGTCGAGCGGCGTCGCCAAGAAGGCCTCTGCAGCCGGTGACAAGAAATCTAAAGTTAAAAAATCTGCTGCCACTAAAAAGACTGCCGAGAAAAAGACAAAGGAGAAGGCAAAGGCAAAAGACGCAAAGAAAAGTGGTACAGTTAAGGCAAAATCAACTACATCGAAGCCTAAATCGAGTGCTGTAAAACCAAAAACTCCAAAGGCCAAAACTACTACTACTAGTGCCAAGCCAAAGAAGACAGCATCGGCACCGAAAAAAACCAAAGGCTGCAGCTTCCGCCAAAAAGGCAATGACAGCAGTAGTCAAGAAATGAATGCATATGTGAAATTTTGTATATGCAAATATAAAAATTCATTTGAAACAAAGCCCTTTTCAGGGCTACAAACAACTAAGAAAGAGAAAAAATAATTTTCAAATGTGATTTAAATGGTTTCAAATAATCTTATCTTTTTCTAATTTTGTTAATATATTTGTTATTACTTCTAGGTGTACAAGTATATGTATGAAAAATTTAACAATTTTTGTTTAAAACTGTTACAAATGGTTTTAGACCATAATTTGTTAGTTAATTTTGTAACAAAAATAATGAGAATTGAAAAATGTTTCACTTTGAGCACAAAAGTTTAAAAAAAACGTATATTAATAAAATTAATAAATAATTTAATCATTTTTCGAAGCAAATTACGATAAACTTAGCTGATGCAAGTACAATGGAATTGTATACGGTCCGGTCCTCCTCCACGATTCTCATAAAAATGGGTGACTAAAAATTGTTTTGTTTCAGTCGATTTCAAGCAATAAGAACTGCATATCATATAGGTGAACGATATGATTTGTAAAAATAGTTTGTTTATAAATATTGACCAAAATAGTTATATTAATATATATGTTCGCCCATTATAATAGATTTTGTTTTTTATCACAGTAAAGGGGTGCCATGTAAATTTTATTTAAAAGAAGTGTATGAAAATTATTAACTCTGCTTATGAAAAATTTGATGGCCCTGAAAAGGGCCTTTTGGAATGTTGTTGCTGCTATGAAGCGGGCGATCAGACATTTACTTTGAGCTGGTGTACTTGGTAACGGCTTTGGTGCCTTCACTTACGGCGTGCTTAGCCAATTCACCGGGCAGAAGTAGGCGGACTGCCGTTTGGATTTCGCGACTCGTTATTGTCGATCGTTTATTATAGTGGGCCAAACGGGAAGCTTCAGCAGCAATGCGCTCGAAAATGTCATTCACAAAACTGTTCATGATGCTCATTGCCTTCGATGAAATGCCTGTATCAGGATGAACCTGCTTCAGAACTTTGTATATGTAGATGGCATAACTCTCCTTCCTCTTGCGCTTCTTCTTCTTGTCGTTCTTGGTTATATTTTTCTGGGCTTTACCAGCCTTTTTCGCTGCCTTTCCACTGGTCTTTGGCGGCATTTTTCACTTCAGATTAATTTAATTCACTTGAGTTAAAATAACACAACACTTCACAGTTGCTTTAGCAATATTTTTCTACCACTGAATTGCTACATATTTGTATATTTTTGTTTAACATCGCCTTCAGGTTTAACTTATAAGAAGCCGTCCAACCCTTAGGAGAGCGTATATGATGCTTAAAAAAGGATAAATATAAAGGCCTAACACTTGGTCGGACATCAACATTTGTGTGGGAGCCAGTGAGCCAATGAGAAGTGTATTTGTGAAATAAAAAAAATAAAAAAAAATAGAAAATGTCTGGTCGTGGTAAAGGTGGTAAAGTAAAGGGAAAGGCAAAGTCGCGTTCGAATCGAGTTGGCCTTCAATTCCCAGTTGGCCGTATCCACCGCCTGCTTCGCAAGGGTAACTATGCTGAACGTGTTGGTGCCGGCGCTCCTGTTTACCTGGCTGCTGTTATGGAATATTTAGCCGCTGAAGTTCTGGAGTTGGCTGGCAATGCAGCACGCGATAATAAAAAGACGCGCATAATTCCACGTCACCTGCAACTGGCTATTCGTAATGACGAGGAGTTAAACAAGCTCCTCTCGGGCGTAACCATTGCTCAGGGTGGTGTTCTACCTAACATCCAGGCGGTGCTTTTACCTAAAAAGACCGAAAAGAAGGCTTAAATTGGCGGCAACCTTTAATAAATAAAAACAATACTGTATATAAAACCAACCGTCCTTTTCAGGACGACCAATTTAATTCAGAAGAGATTTTAATTCATCATCATACAACGTGAATTTGAATAAAGTATAAATATGAAGGCTTAGCATTTGGTCGGGCAGCATGTCATGAACCGTAGAATATACTACTTGTATGTATATAATGCGTATTATATATTTTTAATTCGAAAGTATTTTTTATCCCTTTTGAATTTGGTCAATACGTATAATAATTACTTGAGTGCAAGTATTTATACTCGAATTTTTAACACTGCCAACGTTTGCCATATTTTACTCCTAAATTATGAAAATATAAATGGATGGAATGTAAGCTGTACAATATGTTTGTTTTTTTAAATATGCGTATGTAAAATAAAAGTATGAGTTGAATATTTTTCTCTTTTAAAAAAATATGTTGTGGTCCTGAAAAGGTTCAATATATTATGAAAATATAAATGAAGAGTATCGATTGTACAGCTTTTTGTAAAATAAAAGTATGATTTGAATATTTTTCTCTTTTAAAAATATATGTTGTGGTCCTGAAAAGGACCGATTGTTTTCTTTATTTGCACATTTGGGCAAATGTAACTTCTTAACCGCCGAAACCGTAAAGGGTGCGGCCTTGTCTTTTTAATGCATATACAACATCCATAGCTGTGACTGTTTTCCTTTTGGCATGTTCCGTATAGGTGACAGCATCACGAATAACATTCTCCAAAAACACCTTGAGCACACCACGGGTCTCTTCATAAATTAAGCCAGAGATGCGTTTTACACACCGCCACGTCGAGCCAAACGACGGATAGCTGGCTTTGTGATACCCTGAATGTTATCACGCAATACTTTGCTTTGTTGCGGCCACATACGCTCGTATTTATACAAAAAAAAAAAACACGAAAACACGAGCGAGTCGGATAATCTTCCTATCTCTCTTTCGCACATCTCGTTCAAACAACCACCAATCGCATTGTGCGGCCAAATTTCTATATAAAGAAGGCGCAAAGCAAGCAATACGAATATTGTGTTTTCATCAGTGACAGTGTATACAGTGTAGTAGATTAGTACGGAATAAATACTTGTATAATGGCTCGCACCAAGCAAACTGCCCGAAAATCGACCGGTGGCAAAGCGCCCTCGCAAGCAGCTGGCTACCAAAGCTGCTCGTAAAAGTGCACCAGCCACCGGTGGTGTAAAAAAGCCACATCGTTATCGCCCCGGTACAGTTGCACTTCGTGAGATCCGCCGCTACCAAGAAAAGCACTGAGCTATTGATTCGCAAACTGCCATTCCAGCGTTTGGTTCGTGAGATAGCTCAGGACTTTAAAACTGATTTGCGATTCCAAAGTTCAGCGGTAATGGCATTACAGGAAGCTAGCGAAGCCTATCTGGTTGGTCTTTTTGAAGATACAAATTTGTGCGCAATTCATGCCAAGCGTGTTACAATCATGCCCAAGGACATTCAATTGGCCAGACGTATTCGTGGTGAACGTGCATAAGTTGAAATTTCAGCGCTTCATTTTCCAAATTATAAAATCAATAATCGGTCCTTTTCAGGGACCACAAATAGCTAACAAAGAGATTAACTATTGCTTGGTATACAGCATTTTTTCGTTTTATATTATGATTATTTACATTTATTCCATTATTTACACAAATGCCTGGCATTTCACATAACAATGCAAATATATAAATATGAAGTCATATACTTGTATATGTATTTTTCATTCATCAAGTAAATTAAATCATGCTATTGCGATTATCATTTTCTCAATTAAAGAAATATACATTGAGAAAATCGATTGTTTTTTCTGAATGCGAAACACACGTTATATAGTATAAGATTTAATGGTTATTACTGGTATTCAAACAAATAAATAAAATATGATTTTCCCAAAAAAATGTCAAATTTGTTATTTATTTAATAAATTTTTACTTAAATAATACTTGTATATTGTTATATTTTTCAAAATACAAAATAAAGCACTTGAATTAAATAGAGCAATGGATTTTCCTGCTATTTAGACAAACATGCGAAACTACTTATAAATAACAAAACACGTTTAAAACTCGGAATTTATTATTTATTTAATAACTAACTCTTTCTAGTTTTGTTAATACATTTGTTAGTACTTGTAAGTTATCAAACTCCATTTTTTTATGACTCCTTGGAAATTCGTTAACAACTTATAATGGGTCCAGAAATGATAATATAAAATCTTAAATACTTAACAAATTATTAAAGCAAGTTTAACTTCTTTTGAATGAATGCTAAAATAAATTGGACTTTTAAAACTATATTCTTAAACTATATTTGGTAATTTGTTTGAATGCTATATGCTACTCCGATGGTCGTTTTATGCAAGGTAGGGGCTACTTTGAAAGCATTCAATAAATACATTTTTTTTGCATTTTAATAAATCATTCGTTTAGATTTGTATACAAAATTGTTTAAATTTTGTTTAAAACCCGTTACAAATGATTTTATAGCATAATTTCTTATAATAAATTCATTTTGTAAGCAAAATTATTGACCATTAAAGAATAATGTTTCACTTTGAGTGCCATTTAAAAATGAACTCACAAAAGTATCTACACAAACTTAAGTTTATTAAACTCTGTCAAGCTTATAGATATTATTAAATTGCATTTCAAATGATTTTTTTTACATCTAATCATTTTTCGAAGCAAATTACCTTTTAGATTGCCATAAACTTAGCTGTCGAGAACGACCAATGCCACATTCATTTGTATACCGCCCTCCTCCACGATTCTCATAAAAATGGGTGACTAAAAATTCGTAAAATTTCTGAAAGCAAACCGTTTTATAATTTTACAAGTGTTGAAAGTGAAGTTAAAAAGAAATGTCTGATTCTATCGTAGCTGTTACATCGGCCGCCTCTCTCCGATTGCCATTGCACAAGCGGAGAAAAAGGTCACTGTCAAGAAGGCAACTGCCGCCAAATCGAAAAAAGCTACAGCTCCACCATCACATCCGCCAACCCAGCAATGGTCGACGCGTCAATCAAGAATTTGAAGGAGCGCGGTGGGGTCATCACTTTTGGCAATTAAAAAGTACATTAGTGCCCACATATAAATGCGATGCCCAGAATTGGCCCCCCGTTCATTAAGAAATATTTGAAGTCAGCTGTTGCAAATGGAAAAACTCATCCAAACAAAAGGCAAGGCGCATCTGGTTCGTTTAAATTATCTGCGGCCGCTAAAAAGAGCCAAAGCCAAAAGTCAGTTCCGTCGAGAAAAATAAGAAAAAAGTTTGCACCATCTGGAGCAGCTAAAAAGAAGTCGAGCGGCGTCGCCAAGAAGGCCTCTGCAGCCGGTGACAAGAAATCTAAAGTTAAAAATCTGCTGCCACTAAAAAGACTGCCGAGAAAAAGACAAAGGAGAAGGCAAAGGCAAAAAGACGCAAAGAAAAGTGGTACAGTTAAGGCAAAATCAACTACATCGAAGCCTAAATCGTAGTGCTGTAAAACCAAAAACTCCAAAGGCCAAAACTATTACTACTAGTGCCAAGCCAAAGAAGACAGCATCGGCACCGAAAAAAACCAAAGGCTGCAGCTTCCGCCAAAAAGGCAATGACAGCAGTAGTCAAGAAATGAATGCATATGTGAAATTTGTATATGCAAATATAAAAATTCATTTGAAACAAAGCCCTTTTCAGGGCTACAAACAACTAAGAAAGAGAAAAATAATTTTCAAATGTGATTTAAATGGTTTCAAATAATCTTATCTTTTTCTAATTTTGTTAATATATTTGTTATTACTTCTAGGTGTACAAGTATATGTATGAAAATTTAACAATTTTTTGTTTAAAACTGTTACAAATGGTTTTAGACCATAATTTGTTAGTTAATTTTGTAACAAAAATAATGAGAATTGAAAATGTTTCACTTTGAGCACAAAAGTTTTAAAAAAAACGTATATTAATAAAATTAATAAATAATTTAATCATTTTTTCGAAGCAAATTACGATAAACTTAGCTGATGCAAAGTACAATGGGATTGTATACGGTCCGGTCCCTCCTCCACGATTCTCATAAAATGGTGACTAAAATTGTTTTGTTTCAGTCGATTTCAAGCAATAAGAACTGCATATCATATAGGTGAACGATATGATTGTTAAAAATAGTTTGTTTATAAATATTGACCAAAATAGTTATATTAATATATATGTTCGCCCATTATAATAGATTTTGTTTTTTATCACAGTAAAGGGGTGCCATGTTAAATTTTATTTAAAAGAAATGTATGAAAATTTATTAACTCTGCTTATGAAAAAATTTGATGGCCCTGAAAAGGGCCTTTTGGAACGTTGTTGCTGCTATGAAGCGGGCGATCAGACATTTACTTTGAGCTAGTGTGTACTTGGTAACGGCTTTGGTGCCTTCACTTACGGCGTGCTTAGCCAATTCACCGGGCCAGAAGTAGGCGGACTGCCGTTTGGATTCGCGACTCGTTATTGTCGATCGTTTATTATAGTGGGCCAAACGGGAAGCTTCAGCAGCAATGCGCTCGAAAATGTCATTCACAAAACTGTTCATGATGCTCATTGCCTTCGATGAAATGCCTGTATCAGGATGAACCTGCTTCAGAACTTTGTATATGTAGATGGCATAACTCTCCTTCCTCTTGCGCTTCTTCTTCTTGTCGTTCTTGGTTATATTTTTCTGGGCTTTACCAGCCTTTTTCGCTGCCTTTCCACTGGTCTTTGGCGGCATTTTTCACTTCAGATTAATTTAATTCACTTGAGTTAAAATAACACAACACTTCACAGTTGCTTTAGCAATATTTTTCTACCACTGAATTGCTACATATTTGTATATTTTTGTTTAACATCGCCTTCAGGTTTAACTTATAAGAAGCCGTCCAACCCTTAGCAGAGCGTATATGATGCTTAAAAAAGTATAAATATAAAGGCCTAACACTTGGTCGGACATCAACATTTGTGTGTGAGCCAGTGAGAAGTGTATTTGTGAAATAAAAAAAAAAAAATAGAAAATGTCTGGTCGTGGTAAAGGTGGTAAAGTAAAGGGAAAGGCAAAGTCGCGTTCGAATCGAGCTGGCCTTCAATTCCCAGTTGGCCGTATCCACCGCTTCGCAAGGGTAACTAGCTGAACGGTTATGGTGCGTGTTGGTGCCGCTCCTGTTTACCTGGCTGCTGTTATGGAATATTTAGCCGCTGAAGTTCTGGAGTTGGCTGGCAATGCAGCACGCGATAATAAAAAGACGCGCATAATTCCACGTCACCTGCAACTGGCTATTCGTAATGACGAGGAGTTAAACAAGCTCCTCTCGGGCGTAACCATTGCTCAGGGTGGTGTTCTACCTAACATCCAGGCGGTGCTTTTACCTAAAAAGACCGAAAAGAAGGCTTAAATTGGCGGCAACCTTTAATAAATAAAAACAATACTGTATATAAAACCAACCGTCCTTTTCAGGACGACCATTAATTCAGAAGAGATTTTATCATCATCATACAACGTGAATTTGAATAAAGTATAAATATGAAAGGCTTAGCATTTGGTCGGGCAGCATGTCATGAACCGTAGAATATACTACTTGTATGTATATAATGCGTATTATATATTTTTAATTCGAAAGTTTTTTTATCCCTTTTGAATTTGGTCAATACGTATAATAATACTTGAGTGCAAGTATTTATACTCGAATTTTTAACACTGCCAACGTTTGCCATATTTTACTCCTAAATTATGAAAATATAATGGATGGAATGTAAGCTGTACAATATGTTTGTTTTTTTAAATATGCGTATGTAAAATAAAAGTATGAGTTGAATATTTTTCTCTTTTAAAAAAAATATGTTGTGGTCCTGAAAAGGTTCAATATTTATGAAAATATAAATGAAGAGTATCGATTGTACAGCTTTTTGTAAAATAAAAGTATGATTTTGAATATTTTTCTCTTTTAAAAATATATGTTGTGGTCCTGAAAGGACGATTGTTTTCTTTATTTGCACATTTGGGCAAATGTAACTTCTTAACCGCCGAAACCGTAAAGGGTGCGGCCTTGTCTTTTTAATGCATATACAACATCCATAGCTGTGACTGTTTTCTTTTGGCATGTTCCGTATAGGTGACAGCATCACGAATAACATTCTCCAAAAACACCTTGAGCACACCACGGGTCTCTTCATAAATTAAGCCAGAGATGCGTTTTACACCGCCCCGTCGAGCCAAACGACGGATAGCTGGCTTTGTGATACCCTGAATGTTATCACGCAATACTT